GGTAATGATTTGGGCACCCTGCAGTCATTGAATTAATCGTGGACTTCTTTGTAAACCAAAGTATTCTAAAAGTCAAATAAGAGGCCATCTCTGTACTACAGCTAAAGCTTGGCCCAAACCAAGTCATGAAACAGGACATTGATCCCAAGCACAGCAGCAAACGTATAACAGAATGGACCCCGATCTGAAAGAAATGAGCTTTGCATGAATATCCACAATCCTCAATGATCTGAAGCAATGCTGCAAAGAAAAACAGGCCAAAAGAGACTGATAAAGTCACATTTACCACAGGTTATTGCTGCTGGTTGAAAACTCTCTTTGTCACATGACTGTAAGTAAGAACACGAAGGCTCACATACAGAATCGAATTGATTTTAAATTTCTGTTTACTATTAACCATGTGGGATCCTGTTCAACCTACTTAAATTTGTAAGGTGACAATTTTTTGTCGATACAAAATATTTCTTGTTTTTTTTGCGTAAGATACTTTTAGCACAAGATGATAACTTCTGATGAATGTCTTGTGTGCGCTAGATTAAAAAAATAACCTCAAGATATTTAAGGGACTCTGTAGGATGCTGAGCGGAAGTGTATGAAATAAGCTGCCCGCTCGTGAGATGTCTTGACAGGCTTTGAGCTATTTCTGAAATTAGCAGCAACACACGACGCGACTGTAGTTTTGATTTTGACTTATCCAATGTCACAAAGGTTCACAAAGGAGGACCTTTCCAATGTCAGACAACCTATCAAGTTTGGAAATCTATCTTTATATCCTGACCTAAAAATACAGTAACAGCAGTAAAGGCTGACAAGGATGACATTCGTTTCGAGGTGAAGTTCAGAAAACTAAATCTTCAAAATAATCAGTTTTTTCGGGAAGAAGTGCTCTTTAACTGCAACAGTAAAAAAAAAAAAAGCGCTACAGTTTCACAGTCCTATCTGTCCTCCATATGACAGAGGGATACACATTCTCAAATTATTTGCTTCCTCTACTATTGAAGATAACACATCTGTCTTCTCTTTTCAAAGAAGGTCAAAGTCTCCCATCAGAAAACAGCTCCAGGGCGCTCCGCTTTTATACCGAATGTGCGCTGTACATGGTGAACGAGGACGAGCGCTTTTGTGCGTCAGGTACAAAAGCGCTGGAAAACAGGGAGATCATGTCCTGGAAAACAGGGAGATCATGCAAGCATGTGAATTTTATCCTCCTAAGACCCGAACTCTTCCACTACATGCTTTTTTAATTTCTCATTGATATTTGGACACATTGGGGTCCGATGAATGTAAAAACAAAGAAATACCAGATTTTTTTTTGCCTTATTTTTGTTTTTAAGAAAAATAAGAGCCACATATGAGGATATT